TCCCACATGGCCAACTGCAGTTCAAGTCCTGGACCTGGTGGCTTGGTTTTCTCGCTTACTCTCTCTCTCTCTCTCTGTTCCTCTATGGTCCAATTAGAATAAATAAATAAAGTTAAATAAAATAATAATTAAAAAAATATATATATAGCTGTTGAATGATTTCTTGCGTGGAAAACAGATCCCAGGAGCGCAGAGGGTTCCACAGTAATGAGACAAAGGAGGGAAACACTACCGCATTTCCTAAATGAAACCCATTGTTTAGAAAAGACAAAGTATCAATAATATAAAAACCCATACATAAAAATAGAAGATCACAAAATTAAATGTCTGCTCAGTCATTGGTGGCTAGTACTTGGATAAATAGGTTTTCCCGGCCTATCTTTGTTCAAATGATTTGCATGTGTTATGCAAATAAATAGAACTACCCAAAGAATGCCTATGCGGAGCGATGCTGATGATACTCTCGACGAACCCGCGGATTGGCCTGCCTACCCAACTCATTTGCATGACGTGATTTAACAAGCGAAGGCTCCGCCCCCTTGGTGCTTTAACCTCTCTGGAAGGGACGCGTGAGTTAAAACTCTTCCCAGAGCTAAGTAAGCTCCGCCCACCGGCAGCTAATCTCTCTCGCCCACCCTCGTCTCCTCGCTCATTCTCCTCAGCTGAAAGCGCTACGGGTCTTGCATCGTTTCCTTCCACTTTCGGCGTCCCGACGTTTCTCCGCTTCCATCTTTCAGTGAACGCACGACGCACGCTCCGCCCACTTCTCCCATAATTCGTCGTGTAAATCCTGCGCCCCAACAGGCCGGCTGACCGGCGCCGCATTTCCGCCCCGTCTTCACGTCTCAACGGCCGCGACGGGGGGCCCGCCTCCTCAGCCAACCGGCGTCCTAGTGTGTGTAAGTCCCTCCTCTTTATGCAAATAGCCTCCTCTTGCTCTTCACAGCCTGTCTTTTTTTTTTTTTTTTTTTTTAAAAAAAAGGGGGGGCAGTCTCTGTGTAAGACACACTCAAACATTTCAGTCACTCCTCAGATGTTTCTTGTTCCCGTTGGAAGAAAAGTCTCATTCTTGTTTCAGCTGCCGAAGAAAACTTGAAGTTTCTAAATGATCTTCTAAAACTTTTCTCTGTTCGGGTTCAAGTTCTGTGTCCCTTTCGCTCTGATACAAGTTTTTATCCTCAGCCTTCAGCGGGGGGAGAAGAAGCTGCCATTAGCCGCCGCCATTTTGTCCTCCTGCTGCCGGGCCTACCTGCCCCTCCCCCTCTGGTACCTCTACCCCGGGACCGGCGCCACCAGGCCCTCTCAGGGTCCCCAGCTCACCCCCGTCCACCCACCGCCCTGCCTTCACGGGGCGACCCCGCGCCCGCGCCGGCAGCTCCTCACCCTCTGCAGAGCTGCCCCTCACCCCGCCGCCGCCCCGGGGTGGGCCGCGCCCGGTGCCGGGCCTACCTGCCCCTCCCCCTCTGGTACCTCTACCCCGGGACCGGCGCCACCAGGCCCTCTCAGGGTCCCCAGCTCACCCCCGTCCACCCACCGCCCTGCCTTCACGGGGCGACCCCGCGCCCGCGCCGGCAGCTCCTCACCCTCTGCAGAGCTGCCCCTCACCCCGCCGCCGCCCCGGGGTGGGCCGCGCCCGGCAGCCCTCTTGGAGGGTCTCTCCATCCATGTTGGACCCCTTCTCATCACCTAGCGTTAGGGTCACCCCATTTTGACGCCCCTCTTCGTGCCAGGTCACTTGCACTCGAGCACCGCTTTTAACAGCATCTTTGCTTCCTACATGCCTTAATTTCCCCTCAGCTCTTTAGTTCTTCCTATTCACTGTCCCCTCAGTCCTCCTCTAAACCCCTTTTCTTCCTGACCTCTTGACATTAACCCCCTTCCTCCCCTGCATCCTTTCTCTGCCATTCCTATGCTTCCGTGTATTATTTCCCACCACCTTCTGCATTCTGTATTTTAGTGTGTTCATGAGTCTTTTATCCCCTTCTTTTCATATATTTATTTTCACAGAATGGCCTCCTCAAACACTTCAGAGCAGTCACCATCCCCTCATCTCCAGTCTGTCATAAAGTTCTCTGTCCCCGATTCTGGCCTTCATCCTGGGCCTGTGCATGTCCCTGCTCCCTCCCACCATTGCTGGAGTCTTTGTTTTATGTACTAGTCTCACCCGTATATAAATGCCTGGCCACTTCAAAATGGACTGAATGGAGTTTGGCCAGCTTGGGGAGCAGGCAGTATTAGTGAAAGAAGTGACTGCTGGTGGACATTTTTAACGAGGATAAGAGAATGAGGTTGGTTTTGGCCTTGGCGCTCTGGTGTCTGGCCTTTGACTGCAGGATGCTCTTAAAGTGGCTCCATATGCTTTGTTTTTCTCAGTTCTGTATAGGGTAAGTCAGAGCCCATCAGTATTTTACCTGGAGACAATTTTTTTTTTTTCCCTTGGAGCTAAGATGGGGGAAAGTTTAGGAAAATACAGGATATTCTGAATGCTTGGGGTTCTGTAGCCTGAGAGTGTGGAGAGTCCAGCTTTTCTATGAGAATTTCGCTGGCCTCGGTCCCCTGTTCGGCTGAGCAGGCTCATAAAATCGTTAAGCTCCCAGCATACCTTCCTGCAAACCTCCCCAGATGGGAACTGAGGCTTCTGGGAATAGAACCTGGGGCACAGGGCCCTGGGGCGTGATTAGGGAGCTGGTGTCTAATAAGTAGGGGATCTAAAGCCCTGTTGCTTGTGCAGTGGGGCTGTAGGTCTATTTCGGGTTTTCTCTTGGGTTTGTACTGGCTTGCCTTGATCTTCTGTAGGTCTCTGAAATGGTTTTGGTGGAGAGGAGAAGTACTTGTTGGGGATAATGAAGAGGCTGCTATTCTTTATGGACTCTCACAAAGAGCAGAGTGTTTATACTAGGAGGATATTAGGCTTTTATTTGGATTTCTTTGGCAAAAAGTGGGGGAAAGAGGGAACATGGCATTTGGGCTGTATGGGAGCTGAGTAGATTGTGGTTTCCTAAAGGGGATGGAGAGTTTACATAGGCTGGAGGAAAAGACACCAGAGGGCCATATATTGGAGTCCCTAATGAGAATGAAAGGGAGCTTCTAGGTTTCTATTAGGTCTGTAAAGGAGGCAGAGATTGAGACACTTGCTGTCTGGCCCACAGGCTCCGGCACGTTTTGGGGGAGGTGCCTGCAGGACCCAACATACTCAATGAGCTTCCAGCGCAATGTCCGATCGCTCGGGGCCGACTGCCAAGGGGAAGGATGGAAAGAAGTATTCCTCGCTCAACCTGTTTGATACGTATAAGGGCAAGTCCTTAGAGGTCCAGAAACCCGCTGGTGAGGGTCCTGCAAAGATGCTACTAATGGTTGGAGGCTAGTTGTGAATGGGGCATACGTTTTAGAGCCATTTGAAGGGGAACACTTATTGTAGAGATAAGAAAAGACCAGGGAGACACTGGAGACCTCCCGACATTACCTTGGGTCCTATAGAGGGTCGTGGTCTCTGGGTGATTACCAGTTACCCTCCTACAAAGGCGTGTCTGTGGTTGCCTGTCTTTGGACACGTAAGAATTGGAGGCAGAGAAATGTGGATTTGGAGGAATCTGGAGCCTGCTTGCTCCCCGCAGGCTCAAGATCACCCATCCCATATAGAAGCATTTATTAAATTAAGTCTTGCCTGTAGACATTTCAGAAATTATCAAGGGCAGGGAGAGGGGTGGCTTGTAAGAGGAGTTTGGACTAAGTGGGCACTATGACACTGAAGACATCTAAATGGTATCTAGGGTGGGAGGATGTCAGATTTCCCATGTGAGGCATTTTTGACCCTCTTTTTTTTTTTTTTTAACCTTTTCTTCAGTTGCCCCTCGTCATGGCCTGCAGAGTCTCGGCAAAGTTGCCATTGCCCGGCGTATGCCACCCCCAGCCAATCTTCCAAGCCTGAAAGCCGAGAACAAAGGCAATGACCCCAATGTCTCATTAGTGCCGAAAGACGGAACAGGATGGGCAAGCAAACAGGAGCAGTCCGACCCCAAGAGGTAGATAGAGGCTTGGGGGTTCTAGAGTGATCGTTATTTTAACTTTGAACTTTAGGGTGAATTGGGGATTGGCCTAGCCTGGTTAGGTAGAGCCAGAGAAGAAGAGAGAGATCCATTTTCGATGTATTTTAGGTTTCCTGTTTGATAACTGAAGTATGTATGGTGTTTTTAGTTTTCTCTTAGACATAAGAAAGATAACAGGCTATGAAAGATGACAGAACTAAAATATTTTGTCCAGATATTTGTTAATGGTAGCAATTAACCTAGGTTAAGTCCTTACTTTCCACTAGTTGGAGAAGCAGGGCAGATGTTTCAGGCTCTGAATAACCTTGAATTCTGAATTCTACCATCCCCTCAGTTCCGATGCCTCAACAGCTCAGCCGCCGGAATCGCAGCCACTGCCGGCTTCACAGACGCCTGCCTCCAACCAACCGAAACGACCCCCAGCAGTCCCCGAGGTACGGGAGAACTGGATGGACAGAGGGAGGAATGGCTTCTAAGCCTACCCACATTACTGTTTATCTTCTCTCTGCTTCCCTAGAACACTCCTTCGGTTCCAAGCGGGGTAAAGTCCTGGGCACAAGCCAGCGTCACCCATGGAGCACATGGAGATGGTGAGTTTGGGCTGTCTGGGGAGCTGTGCCTTGGGAGGCAGGAGCCCCACCCTCTACCTTCAGCAAAGTGTCCTTGGTCCTCTTTTACTAAATCTTTGACTCCGTATTCATTTTCATGGGGCATGAGAACAAATTTAAGTCTCAGCCTTACGTGGGGCGTGGTGGAGTTTCAGAACTGATCTTGCTTCTTGGGGAATGAACACTTGCCTCAAGCTACCAGGGCTGGGACTTGAACTGTGGTCAGCCAGGTGGGGTCCCACCTCCTTGATTACTGTACTGTGGGGCTGGCCCTAGAGCCTTCCACTTTTTTTTTGTAATTTGTCAGAGGGCATATGTGCTCACCAAAGGGAAAGGGGTAGTGAGAAAGCAGTCCCCATAGGGGATGGTCACGCTATAATCCCTTCTCTTTCTCCCTCTTTATGGAATTTCGGGCATTCACATGCCCAGCATGACTTTTTAGATCTGGTCAGCCACGTGGGATACATCCAGCACACCACTGACTGGCCAGATCCCGTGTGTGTTGTCTGTAAATGTATTCTATTTTTTTTTTTTTTTTTTTTTTTTAAGAGAGAGAAGTTTTTTGCTGTAAGGGCGCATGCATACCAGAAAGACAGCGAGAAATCACCACTACCACCCCCCCACCCCCCTCAGGGAGATGGCCATGCTGCAATCCCTTATCATTCTCCTCTAGGGGTTTTGGACATGCCTGCACACGCACCTGGCATGAGTTTTAAGCCTCCAGGTCCGGGACTTGAACCATGGTTAACTATGTGAGAGTCCAGTGACATAACCATTACACCATCTGTTGGTCCCTGTAAATGTACTTCTGTCAACGGTTTTGCACTCCTATCCACACAGGTGGAAGGGCATCAAGCCTACTGTCGCGATTCTCTCGAGAGGAATTTCCGACCCTGCAGGCGGCTGGCGACCAGGACAAGGCTGCCAAGGAAAGGGAGTCTGCCGAACAGTCGTCTGGGCCCGGACCAAGCCTCCGCCCCCAAAGTAAGTGGCCTTGTTATGTGAGTGGGTGAGTGGCTGCTTTTTTGACCAGGACGTTACTTGTTCCATCTCAGAACTAGATGCTGGCTTAGTCCTTTTCATTATTAGCTATATTTACTTGCCACTGAATCGTTGATTTCTCTTTATTTTTACCTTTTCCCAAATCACAGACTCTACAACTTGGAGGGATGGAGGTGGACGTGGCCCTGATGAGCTGGAGGGCCCGGACTCCAAACTTCATCATGGTCATGACCCCCGGGGCGGGCTGCAGCCTTCAGGCCCACCCCAGTTCCCTCCCTACCGCGGAATGATGCCGCCCTTTGTGAGTTTGGATATCTTATTATAGAGTGGTTGTGCTGGAAGCTAGCTAGAAATCAGGAGGACTTAATCTTTGGTGGGGATAGGTAGAAAGTAGGGACCTATGGGACATGAAGGGTGAGAGGATGATGGCGGGTTTTAGGAGCCCACTGGCTGTTTGTCCTTCTGAGCAGTAACTATTTGGCCCTCTTACAGATGTACCCCCCATATCTCCCGTTTCCTCCGCCCTATGGACCCCAGGGGCCTTATCGATACCCTACTCCTGATGGGCCCAGGTGAGGGATCCAGGTCTGGGTTTGTGATGGGGGGAGGGAAAGGCTGTTGGGGGAGGAGATGATATTACATTGGCATTGGTATTACGGCTTGTCATCTTTTACTTTCTCTCCCATTTGTTTTTTTGTAATAGTCGCTTCCCCCGTGTGGCAGGGCCCCGGGGCTCAGGGCCGCCAATGCGCCTTGTAGAGCCTGTAGGTCGGCCTTCTATTCTTAAAGAGGATAACCTCAAAGAGTTTGACCAGTTGGACCAGGAGAACGATGATGGTTGGGCAGGTAAGTAGAATTAAAGATCAATCATTTGGATCTTGAAAGGCAAAATCTGATGAAAAATAGAGGGTTGTGCAGGAAGAAAATGGAGGTGGAAAGGTAGAGGAGGTACATGGAGGAAGCCCAAGCCCTGGCAAAGTATGGAAAGGAGTGAGAATTACAAGACTTGTCATCGGTTGACCTAGAGTTCACAGGGAGGGAGTTGGCATTGGTAGCATATCCCTTCACATAGTTGCAGACCACTTTCTGTGTCCCAGGAAGATAAAGGAAGTGGGAATGCAGAATGCTTGGATTACTGCTATTCATTTTCCCCCTCAGGGGCCCATGAGGAGGTCGACTACACTGAAAAGCTCAAGTTCAGCGATGAGGAAGACGGGCGAGACTCTGATGAGGAGGGAGCTGAGGGCCAGTGAGTTAGGGCCATCAAGGGAAAGGAGGGGGTTCAGTTTTTCTCTTGATAATATATGTAGCAGCTAGATTGCAGCTGGTATTAATTCCACTGTTGATCTTCTCACAGCAAGGATTCCCAATCAGCTGCTGGTGAGGAACGGCCCCCTGAAGCAGATGGCAAAAAGGGCAACTCCCCCGGCAGCGAACTGCCCCCTCCCAAGACGGCCTGGGCAGAGACCTCTCGGCCTCCAGAAACAGAGTCTGGGCCTCCTGCCCCAAAGCCTCCCCCACCCCCACCTCACCGGGGCCCCGCCGGGAATTGGGGCCCCCCTGGGGACTACCCAGTGAGTGTCTACAATGAGGGGTTGAGAGGGTCAGTTGTGGGAGATTAGTATCAGCTATGTAACTGAAGTAGTAGTGACAGAGGGAGCTGGAGGGAGGGCTGAAAATGGGCTAGGTGAAGCACAGGGTTGCAGGGGATCTCTGGAAAGCTTGAGAATGTCCTTGGTGTTAGAGGAGTCTGGTTGAAAAGTGAGAGAAATTGAGATGCTAATGAGAAAGAACAGGAGGCCTGGGTGTTTGGGTCTCTGAAGGAGAAAAGGAACAGAGAAAAACCAGGGTGATGATGAGTTTGTCTCTGTCCAGGCAGGTCATCAACCCCAAGGCCTAGTCTTCGCTTCCCTCGGAGAGAGATAGTTGATTGGTTTGTGAAAGAGATGATAGAAAACATAATGACTGACACGCGTGGCCCTGCTGGGTCTGCCTATTGACAGGATCGTGGGGGCCCACCCTGCAAGCCTCCAGCACCCGAAGACGAGGATGAGGCCTGGCGGCAACGGAGAAAACAATCTTCGTCTGAAATCTCTCTGGCCGTGGAGCGTGCCCGGCGACGGCGTGAAGAGGAGGAGCGGCGCATGCAGGAGGAGCGCAGAGCAGCCTGTGCCGAGAAGCTCAAGCGGCTAGATGAGAAGTTCGGAGCACCGGACAAGCGACTCAAAGCAGAGACTGCTGCTCCACCTGCTGCCCCTCCTGCCCCAGCTCCACCACCCGCCGTCCCCAAAGAACTCCCTGCACCTCCAGCTCCCCCACCGGCACCAACCCCAACACCAGAAAAAGAACCTGAAGAGCCAGCACAGGCCCCTCCTGCCCAGTCCACCCCTACTCCAGGTGTGGCTCCACCTCCCACTCCGGTGAGTGGTAGTGGCAGTACCAGCAGCACGAGCAGCGGCAGCTTCGAAGCCAGCCCAGGTATGGAGGTGGAGATAGACATTAGCAAGTGTTAGGTCTCTGAGTGGCTGAGGGTACGGGTGGTAAGAATGGGGTAAACGAAGTAATAGGTGATGTGGGAAAAGGGTCTCACATTCGTACGGGTTGTTAAAGGGAGGCATCTAAAAGCGTTTTCTGTATGCCTAGAATGGCACAAGACTGAAGAAGGTGTTACTTTGGTGGTTTCATAGGAAGTTAATACCACTACTTTTGGCTCTTGAGAGACCATGGGGGTGTTTTTATGAGTCTTATGATGGTGAGTGTGATTCTTCTGTAGGAAAGTTTATGGGTAAGGCCAAATACCTCAGTCTTTAGGGAGGGAGCTAGCGATTTGGGTTGAAATTTCTGGGGTTCATAGGATATCTGTTGATGAACTAGGTCACTGTGAATGTTGTCTTTTCTTTAATGCAGTGGAATCCCAACCACCCTCAAAAGAGGGTCCTGAACCACCAGAGGAGGTTCCTCCTCCCACCACACCCCCAGCTCC